AAATTCATGGGATTCCTGACTTACATAAGTTTCATATGGTTCATATCTAAAGGTTTATAATTATCATCGCAGCATGAGCTAAATCCAGGATTTTGTTTCAGAATCTGAGACAAAGTTACAGATCCCTTTACTATACATTACCAGAAAATAAGCCATTTTATTTTCTAAGGGTCACTGTACTAACCAACAATGTGTAATAAATGCTATAATATAAGGGGAAAGAAATTAAGATCCAATGGACTTGAGCATGAATTCACTGTACCTGCAGGAGACTTGCCCTCTTTCGATTCAGACGGCGGATCTGGTTCTCCCGAAGCCGATGCCGTAGCCTTCACCACCGGTTCCGCAACATCCTTCTTGCTCTTCTTGGTCGTCACCACAAATGGCTTTTCATTGCCGTTGGGGGCAGCAGAGACCTCTTCTTTGTCCCCATCCTTTTTTGAGCTCAAAGTTCTGACATTGGATATTTTGCTGGACTGAACACGTTGGAAGAGTTGGCTGGGTCTCCTCGTTAGAGAACATATATCCCTTCTAGTTGGATGCAACTTTGAAGATGTATTTTTGCTGAGATAATGTCTACATACTGTGATGGGAAAGAAAAAAAATCCATGTTTTTTATCATAATCTAAATCTTCTTTTCCACCTCTTTCTAGTAAATCTTGCTCCTTCATTCCTACACTAAGATTCACGCAGATGAATGGAATGGGTGTGCCATACGATACAAGAAGCCATCCATGCTCATCATTAAATGTAACAATTCCACAAGATTCAAAGGCAAACAACCTAAACAAAATCAAAGACACAGGCCACAGAACACGGCTGTTTCATTCATCCATTTAAAAATGATTTTAACATGATCTTACAATTATGATGGAGAGCCCGATGTAACATGTAACATTTCTTTTGGAATTGGCAATTTTTGTTGTTCTCCCCTAATGCTTTGATCTCATCTTAATCCCTATATTCCAAAGAGTAAGCATGCTGAAATTCTCATCAAATTTTAGTAGACTCTAAGAACAATCAACAGAGTCATTTTCACAAGAAAAGGCAGTGGTGTCATTTTGACATTGCATGCATTTCAGGATTTTGTACGTGAAAGATGGAATTTCAAAGCTTCTGAATAAAATGACTTAATTAAACAAGACTTTTCTCATCTTTTATTTACTAGTTTTTTTGCACTAGGCCGGGCCGCTTGTCACCATGGTCACTGTCTTGTCAGCATGACTCCAAGTATCCCTTTGGCATAGACCTCAAATTTGTCAATCTATAGACTATGATCTCTCCAAAATCGAAGAATTTGACAGGCAAAAGCAGTCAAACTAAAAACAATTAATTAAATAATAACGAAAATCGAAACTTCGAAAGTCTAAATTTCAGCCTTTTTCAGGCTTGAAATTAAGAATCTACCACCTTCATGTAACCCTTCATCTAAAATACCACAATTAGACAGCGTTTTTCCATTCTGATTATAATCTGCAATCCGAATTTTGATCAATGTAGCGCTCAAGAACGAGTTATTCACGCAATAAAATGTCATAAACAAATAGCCTCAGAGTGAGAGATAATCACACACACAAATTTAGGCATGTGGGGCAACGTATTAATGAGAGGATTCATTTACCTGAAGTAATATGATGTATGCTGCTATCTGTGTTCACTTTACTGCAAAACAAAACAAATGGTGACCGAGCTTGAACACTGCGGAGCATCATTTTGTCAAAAATAAGTCGATATAATATAAATCTAGCTGAAATTTCATATCAAATGCAGAAACATGAAACAGTGACTCGGAAATTCTGGCGATCGATCATGCGTGATCGTTGAAATAAATGCAATCGGAAGCCGGAAAAAATGGGGGGGGGGGGAGGGGTGTAGAAAACATATAGGAAAAGAATAATTGCGAGCATACAGGAAATGTATTGTTGTCTTCTCCATTATCATTGTGTAATATTTCGGTTCTTGTTTTCGATTTTTGTTTTCTTTGAGATACACATGTACACATGTCTTCTTCTGCACAATGTCTGGCTTCTTTTACTTGCACGCATCACGCACTCACACACTGGACAGCTGTCAACGTAGCTTTTTGGGTGCAACAAATTCAAGATTCAAGATTCAAGTATGAGTTATCATATTTGTTTAGGAAAGCTAATGAAGAATCAAAAGTAGAATGTTTAGTTTTGTAAAATTCATTTTTTAACATTATTTAATATTTCTTTATATGACATCTATATAAATTATATGCATTCGGTTGTATTTGTAGGTTTGTGACCCTTAGATATTTGAAATAACATCATTTGAAAACAAAAAGAAGCGAGAACGAGGTCGAATGCTGATATTACGGCTGAGGGCTGTGGTGGAGGCGAGGTCGAGAGAAAGGGGTTACAGATTTAAGTTGATTGATAATAGAGGCTTTAAAAACAGATCAGTGGTCACGAGGGGGTGAAGCGAGTGAATGTTCAGTTTAATCAAATAATTTTTCAAGGTCATGTCAAATAATTGAATACTATAGTAAATAAATAAAAACGAAAAGGGCCATCAGATTTCGGTGTACTCATTAACACCAAAGAAAAAAATACATGTACTCATAATTGTACTCATTTTGTATTGGAATTTTGCATTCTATAACTCGTGTCATGGAATTAAGAACTTGAGGTGCACATGTACCTTAATATTTGACATCATTTATGAATTCAAACAGACGAACATTTCATCCGCATTCAGTCGTTTGTGTTTTTCTTCCTGTACCCTAATTCCAGGCTCCTCCTAAATTATTTACCTCTTCCTCCTCCTCCTTGTTCTTCTTCTTATTCTTGTACTTGTAAATCGTCTTCTTCTTCTCTTTCTCCTCCTCCCCCTTGATCTCTCTCTCTCTCTCTCTCTTTCTTTTCCTCATTTCCAATTGCCTCGGCATGATGGTTTTCCTCCTCCCCTATGGCTACCACCCCCCCCCCCTCTCTTTCTCTCTCTCTCTCTCTCTCTCTCTCTTGCTCTCTCTCTCTCTCTCTCTCTCTCTCTTTCTCTCTCTTTCCCTTCCTCTTTCACTTCACACAGTGTTTCATTTCTTCTCGTTCTGTTGATTAATATATATCGTAAATTACTATATTTTGTCCCCTGTCTTAATAAGGAATGATAAGAAATTAAACGCTTTTTCTTTTTATCCCCACGTATCCCTTTAATGATCCCAAATCACTCTCTAGACTTGGTAATGAAAACAAGAAAATCAAAAACTCTTTTAAAAAATGGTTCGAAATAAATTATATATTTAATAGTAAACCATCATAACTCTGTTACAAACTTCATACATGTTAAGAATTTCAATCCATGTTATACGTTATAAGAATAAATAGAATACACACTATTAATTCTAAATCAAGAATAATTGTGCAGATTAGATGACGGAGAAAAAAACAGCAATAAAATATCACAAGATTTCAAATGAAATTACACGTCAGAGTCCGAAACCATTCAGCATTAAAGCAATTGTATTTGTTTAAGAAGAGTAATACCAACGGGGAAGATATGAATTCCACAGCTACCCCTACACATCAACCTGTAACCCCCGTCCCCACTCCACACTTTTACCGTTGAAATATGAGACTATTATTATTATTTAATAATTAGTTTGGACATACGAGCGTGTTTTTTCTTCAAAATTGCTGAAATCTAAATCGCGCGAAAAGTGTCCTTAAAAATATTGGAAATGCACTTGCGATCAAGTGGAAATGTTTGTATCTGCAAGTGTAATGGACCAAACAAAATCTTCAATCTTTATACACATATCAGTTTAATCGTTCTTTTTCAACGTATTCCGATTTAACGTCTATAATGGTCCTCAGATCTTTTAAAAAAATGATTCCTGACACCAAAGTTATTGCAAAAATGAACTTCACACACCAGCATACTGAGGTAAAACGCACATACAAATTGGAAAGATAACTCTTGTATGAATTCAGACCTAAGAGGAGGGGTGGTGGTGTCCTAATGGGAGGAGTAGTTACATGTATAATTATATAGAACTATGCATTTCAGAGTATTTCAACGCCCTTATTCCCTGCTTACAAAGAGATGTATAATTTTAAGATTAAAATGTTTTTTAGGGGATCGCCTATGATCGCCGCATCCCACCCCTCCTGCCGTTGATGCAAAAATATATGATTCGAGTTGTTCGTAAACAGCCCGAATGTCAAATTAAAGAAACACACAAATAGGAGTCAAGTTATATGTTCAGTATTACAATACTTTTCTTTGTATCGCATGGGAGCCAAATTAAACAAACCGATCAGAGATTAGCCTCGATTGTTCCTGGGAGAGTCCAGGGAACAACCTCATTACCATAATATTATACATGTATAGTTCAATGATTTGCACAAGATTCATATTTGCCTTATAGCATACCCTTAAAAGTAGCTTTACTGAAATTTTAGCTCCGAAGGTATTGATGTGATTTTGTAGGTGTGCTCCTTTTTTTAATAATTAGCTCCCATATCGTGCTATCATAAAAAAATCAAAGAAAGTTGAAATTAAAGATGGCACTCTTACCCTCCCTGTTAAACAAAATCCGAATCCTTCACAGCATGAAAACCGACAGCAAAATATAATCTATGATGAGAAGTTGGTTGATTAATGACCAAATTAAATTATAAAAATGTGTATTCCAAAACTGAAACATTTCAATCAGAGGGGGAAATATTAACTTAGAAAACATAAATCAAAATTGCAAAACGGCATACGTCTCATAGCTAATCGACCATGGACTCTACCAAAAAGGGGTCGACACTATGCTTATTAAATATCAGACTCATCAGGCAATAGCATTTCAGCCATGAAAGACAGGAAAAGACACCGTATATTAAATTTTAAATTATACTAAAGCTTCACTATACTCCTGTGGGAGAAATCATAATGGCGAGTCGCTATTGGACTACAAAATAAGGACACCCTAGCAAAACAACTGTCCATGAGATCGACCACGTCGGTCTCGCGATCGCAAACGAGTACAAAAAATAGTCAATGGTCTCCACTGTTCCGGGCCACTGTTCAACATGATCTATGTTCACAAGTCTTTCAATGTCTTTAAAATCCTACGTTGTAATCGCCGTCGTCGTAGATACGATGTGTCACGTCTCTTCGCCATCTACGTTCTGTACGGCGTCGGTGGTTGCGACGTCGACGTCGTCTTGAGATGGTCTAGGACCCTGACTGGTGGTCGGAGCGCTCGAGAAATGAACGCTGCGATGTCGCTTTACGTCGTACCGGGCCGAGTGCGATCCCCGTTCACCAAGAATGGCTCGTCTCTCTTCAGATATTGCTAAAAGAATAAGATTAAAAAGTGGAAGAAGAAAAACGTTAGGAAACAAAAACAAAAAACAAATTGATAATACTTCGGAGGAAATTACTCCCTCCTAGATTTAAGAACTGACAGTGCTAATAGCGGTAATGGTACAGTTCACCCCTCCCCCTCTCATCCCGGAATGGGCCTACTGTATTCCATTTACTCGGATAAACTGGAGGCTGATCCCCCCCCCCCCCCCCCATCATGGACCCTTTCTAAGATTACGCCAATTTATCGCCGCGTATTTTTGTACAAAATAGTGTGTTTGTTTTTGCATTTTCATCTCAACTAAACTGTAATCACAAGTTCGAACGTAATAATTTGGTGCTTGTAAAAGTATCCTCCCCCCTCCCCACCCCCCCCCCCCTCCACCGAACCTACACTGCACTATGTCGACAGCTGAACCAATGCTTACTTTTATGAGTTGGCAGGGTATTTCGAGTTGACGTATCGACGTGTTTGAGTTGGTTGGCGTCGAAGTTTTTGAGGAATTCGTTGTTGAGGCATTCTCTCATTGAATCACATTCCTCACACGGTTCAGCTCGGTAAGCTTCCGGCTTAAATCTGTAAAGAAATGGGCGATAGAAAGTACAAAACATATATTCAACACATATTTTTTTCTCTGAATATTCTCACTTGGCAAGGAAAGTATGAACTACATGCACGTGCTTTAAAAATACGTGCTTTATAATGAAGGAAAGAGTCGAAGAACTGTTTGACGAGAGACAAATTTACAGCAAACCTGGTGGAGAAATGGTGTATATGTATTTAGGGCAGGCGTTTTCTACCTCATTTTCTCAGGAGTATATTAGGGCTTATAATTGCATGGCTCGGAAACAACTAAAAGTACAAATTTCAACAACAATATTACTTGGATTATCGAAGAGATGAGAACAAAGTAGACTCGTTCTCGATATTTGGATGATGTACAATACAGACAATATACCAGTGAATACGGCTACAAGTCAATAAAAAGGTTATATCCATGTAGTTATAAATAACCTGTTTTTAAGAGGGTAAACAGGGCTCCTTTATCCGAATACTATTTTGATAAAATAAAGTAAAGTTAGGATACTTTTTATCATAAGTGACATTCGGTTGAAAAGTATTAAAAGTTTAACTCTTTTGCGAGATAATTTTGAGACAGATATTAATCGAGGATTTTCATTAAAACAAGAGTTTTTCGTCATCTTCAAAACTATATACTACTACCATCCATCGCAGTGGCATGTGGTGTACGTGATGTCCACAGTTAGATAGTAAAAATTAATGTTCCATTTATAATGGCTTGCAATATCAATTCACTCTCCACTCGTCCAATTACAGACTATTCTTCTCCCGGTCAACGTTCCGGCAATGTTTGTATCGTCTCTCGATCGGTATCGATTTTTGCTTTTCGTTCGCCCCTCTCTGAGAAAATTCCATTGTTTGATCTCCCACTTGCTGTGTCATTTACTGGGGCGAAACTCGTAAGAATGAATAGGAGATGAGAAAAGGGACAATGGAAGACCAGCTAAAAGATACAATGTATCTTACAGCAGCATCAAGCCTCGACGGTTACGGATATAACTCAGCATGTTAGCATTTGCATTAGCAAGCATACGCTAGCTATCTCCATATAAAGTTAAACAGACTCAAGTCGTAGCTATTAGTTTTGTTCATTTGTTTATGTTTGGCTTTTTAAAAATGAATCATATATTATATATGGTATAGAAAAGGCAGACAATTATGAAACAGACTAATTAGTGATTGAGCATAATTGTAGAGAACACGAGAAAACGTTTGAAGTCTTTACGTAATTGGCATGTACAACATTTAATTATTCAATGACTACGTTATGATTTTCTCTTTGAAATTCTATGCGTTTTGACAGAGGCGATTACAAATCTCAAGTTTTAATCTGAATTCAGTGTTTCGAATAGCATGAATAAGATCTTCAAATAAATGTTAACGTTATGAAAGCAGGATGCCCTTTCGAAATAACCGGTTTATCATACATTTTTTTCCAGGTTCGTAAAAGCTGTTCAGCATGATTGTGAGCTGAGATCTTTCGAAGAGAAGTAAATTAAAACCCTACCATAACTCACAATTCACATCCCATCCGTACACCTACTAGTAGATTCAAAGAACCCTATCACCGGTGGAAAATTAAAAAAACGAATCATGCAAGAGAGATACATATTTCATAACATTCGTTCGTTAAAATCAATTCATTATAAAAATCTAAAAATCTGAGGGAGGAGAGGAATTGCTGTTCGTGTGTATACATGACCTCGCAAAGCGCATTTGCCAAAATATATTATTAATACCCTTTTAGACAATGTAATATTCATATGTGCAAAATATTAGCAATCAATTGATTAAAATCCTTTTTAAAATGCTAAATGTCAATAATATGATTGACTTTGTTTTTCACCGAAGTAATAACGCAAATTTTTCGTACCGTTTGACTAGTTTTAGGTACAATATCATAAATGAATCGAGATAATTATATCAAGTCAACCGATAAGGAGGACGACAATTATGGCAACGTGTGTGTCATTTTCTATTCAAGTTGATTACTAGCCCGTTTCATATACATGTACTGTACATCATTCTTATATTTTGCGTCTTTTTAAAAAGCATTTACAAGTAAATAGGATTGTTGGTATCAAACACGATTTGTAGTGACTGCACTTTCGCCATATAGTATACTAAGTATAGTATATGTTTTAATGAATATATAGACGTAGTGTATTTCACAATCTGATGTAATTAACGTTGTTGAATTATATTTAATTATGTCATATTATTTTCGTTCAATGTACTTACCTTGTTAGGCGCCTTGAGCATCTCTTGGGGTGGATATGTGCGCATTATAAATGTTGTTATTATTATTATTATAGGCTGAAAATATGAGCTTACTAATTCAGTGTTATCCAAACACCATATTGTATTCACTATGTCGTATGTGTTATTGTGTTGGTGCACTCGAAAATGCATTGATGGATATCTGTTTTAGATATAGGAGCACTAATTTCAGACGTCATATACGAACGCCTCTCAAAAATATATTCAGTTTTATTCTACAGTACGTACTATTTTATTAATTAACGATATGTATATCGTATATATTGGTGCACTACCAGTTTAAAACATCCTGAAAATGCATTGATTTAACATGAAGATAATATCAATATCTATGTTTGTGACTATATTATAGCAGCACTTAGTAGACGACATAAATACATACGCCTCTCAAAAATATATCATGTTTTGGTATCGTACACGAATTATGATTGACAGACGGGAGGCGAGCCACATCTTGCTTCGTCAAGTAATTGCCATAAAATGAAATGTATATTGATATCACCTGATCTTTTGACCTCGACATGTTGGGTTTCGGATCTAAACTTGTCAAGAAAAAAGTTCAAAGTGCCATTGTCAATGACAAGTGTACATAATTGATTGATTGATTTTATTCGTCAAGTATAGTACAATGAATGCATACATAAAGCAAAATGAGAAGAGAAGATACATTGACAGGATAACCCATGAAAGCCGGAAAAGGCTTATTTCCAACGGGGTCCTATAAAGTACGTGTACAGTACGGCATGAGAATAAAATATCACAACTAATAACTACTACGAATATTACGAATAAATAATATAACATAAACAACAACTAAAATTTCTAGAACTTATAGCAAACAATGATCTACGGTATATTATGCAAGATTAAACTTAAAAACATGCGCTACACATAATGAACTGTGATTTAAGATAACTGATATTACTGTTCTTGAAGGGATTCATGCTTTAGGTATTGTTTTAATACACTTTTAAAGTGTGAAAAATTCTTAACTATTTTGACATGTTTTGGGAGAGAATTCCAAAATTGGATACCATTAAAATAAAAAGAGTTTCCAATTTGTCCTTTTCGCTTGGGTAAAACAAAATTAAAATGACTATTTCTTGTATCGTATCCATGGATATCTGAGACACGAGTAAAATTATTAGTAATATAATGATCTACATTTTTATGGACATGGTGTAACACGAGTTGTTTAGACCTTTGACCTACATAGAGTATACCTGCTTCTTCAAGTTCATTTTTCCCGACGTGTGTTCTTGGGCCTAAGCAATTAATAAATCTTACCATCTTATTCTGAATTATTCTTAACTTTTTCTTATCCATCTTGCCCAGACTACTGTACCAAGCAGCATTAGCATAATGAACAAGTGCAAACTACAAACGCAGGGGCATTGGGGGCACCTTTATGTTGTGTATACATTACGGTTTTTACGATTGTACATGCCAAAAATTAAAAGCCATGCACAGTTATGAAAAGATACTAATAATGTTATGAGTGTTGCCTTTAGTGTTGCTGGTAAATACTGAAAATACATTGGTAGGATAATTAAGATGAACAATCAATGTCATCGGAATGGAATATACGGTAATCAGGGTACACTTTCGGAAAATAAGATTGATTTAAAATTGTATTTACTGCTAAGAATAAACTGACTAAATTTGCTATTTGGCTTGTATTTCAGTTATTTTTTTAAACCAAGATTTCAGACGGAATAATACGACAAATGAGTTATTTTGGCAAATATGTGCTTAATCAGAATAAGAATTACAACTTTTGTTTAAAGCTTATCTGCCGTAGTTTACAGGAGGGATAAGACCGCTCTGCAAGGTCACTGGACAGGTGGTTATCTCATCAACTCAGCTCTCAGTTAACATAAGAAAAAGAGGATCATGGGGGACCAATGGTCACCGATTAGGCACTGTTTGTTATATAGAGGGCGCAAGTATACCAGTAGTGCAGTGGGCCTTTAAGAGTGTATATTTGCTTACAAAGTTAAAATAATGAAAGAAGTTGGCTACGTTATACAACTTAGATTATATCCTACTTCAGATAATTCCTAAATATATTATCAATTAATTTGTAGGGCTTTTATCAGCATGCTAGAGATGTTATTTTCTGCTTAGTTACTAAAATAAACACAATGGCGGATTTATATACCTTATTCTTTCTGCATAACTAGAGGCATTGGCCGTTTTCGCCCTTCTCATTCCCGGCTTGGCTGGCTCGCTCCTCTGCAAACTCCAAAAGGTTGGCGGGCAACTCGCCCTGAGGTTCGGGACAAGTTCCCTTTCTCTCTCCGCCATGGCTATCGTCGAGGCCGACACAGCCCATCGCCTGCCCGCACTATGCCAGGGTGGCGGCTTGTTCAGCCTGTTCGAAGCGAGCATATACTCCCGGCTCCGCAGCAGACGAGTTCTGCGGTCTCTCAAACTTAACAGATCCATTATTGTTTCTCCTTTTTATATATATATCCCCAAACAACCCTCTCTCTCTCTCAAACAAGCAGAGAAATCCTATTTGTCACATTTGTAAGGATTTATTCCATTAAAATCTTGGCTCGGAATGAATGAGATGGCAAAGCCTTTAGGCATACACAATCCAACTTTTCTCGGTTGACGAAGCAAACACGTTGAGAGTCTATTATACTCAATAGGACCAACTGCGCTAGGTGGCGGTATTGTCTTCACTACAGTTGCATCAAATGCCTCTTTTGATAGTTATAAGGTCGGAACTCCGGTTGGTATAATAAGGAACAAATCAAATACCTGCCTTGGAGGCAAGTTCCTTAATTAAGTCATCCTTTCAAAAAGACGTAAATAACATTTGCTTGCGGGAGAAATGAGGTGTAAACTTTCTTTTGATTGTATTTGCTCCGCCCACATGACTGGTTCTCTGTTGTCTATAGACCAGTTCCTTGCACGTTGTGTTTGTATCATGACAACACTTCTCACTCTCCCACGTATATAGTCTTCTTCCAAATCGTTTACAAATTACTCTATCACGATATGAAATGAAAATTAAACCAAACTGACAGTCAAGAAGGAATATAGATACATTTTTAAGAGTAAAGTCGCAATACGATAGAGGCAATGAAGCTTTCATGTTGTCATGGTTACGAGACTGATTTTATGACCAGAAGGAATGATTTAACAAAACGAAACAGACTGAATAAATATGCAATTGCGGATTCGAAGAAGTCTACAAGAATTCACCTGTGGCACTTGTCAATACAATGAAAGTTTGGTCGCTTGAGTAAACAGAAGACCATTGATGAGTATTGATCGGAAGATTCCCTATCTTCTGTGAGCTTTGGTCAGCGTTGACCATTGGGTGAGAGATGGTCATTATTCTCACCGCACGGTCGATCAAGGCCGTGTTTCTCGCTAAAAGCAATCAATTATTGCATTAATGTACACTCTCAAAAGGAATTGGTCAATTCCATCCAATGCCATTATGTTCACCGGTAGATTATTTATACGTCCGGCCAATATTCATTGGTCAAAACAACCTATTTCAATTAAATTAAATTAGGGTAATCGGAGTAACGGGTTAGTGAGAGTTTACGGGAAAAAAATTAAAAAAACGATAAGAAACTCATAACTTTTAATGCTTGTGCTGGTGAGAATTTTTTCTTCAAACTTGCACTAATTTTTAAAAATAATTTTCCACATTTGCTCACTTTTTCTAGTTCGGGTGAATTATCTAATATCAACATGATGAAGGGTTAAGTTCTATTTGAAATGTTAATCTTTTATGAATGATAATCATTTAGGCATGTCATGTTAGATATGTACCAAAAGGTGGTTGACCCGGGGGTCAGTTCCCCCTGCTTCTTCAAGTGCCCCTTAATTGCCCCTTTTACTTCAGATAAGGGCCCTTTTTTTATGTCTAACAGGTGCCCGTTCCACAATCTTTTAAGTGACACTGAGAACCTTTGATAAATGCTCCCTTCACCAATGATGATTGCCCCCATTAAAATATGAGAGGTGCCCATTTTACTTTAACAAGTGCCCTTTTTTGTAATAAGTGCCCCTATCAGTTCTGATAAGTACCCCTTTAAATTCATCTCCGATGAGTGCCCCTTCTCACCTGTGATAAGTGTCTCCTTTCATTATGACACGGGCCCCCTTCCTTTTAGATTACTGTTTTTTCCCCCTTCTCATAAATGTCACTTTTCTTTTTTAGAGTCACTTCCCCCTTCTCACCGTCCTATTATTAATGCTTCTAACAAAATATTATTGGTGCCCCTTTCCATCCGACAAGGGCCCATTTTCTTTGTAATGAGTGCCTTTTTCCGTTCTCACAAGTGCCCCTATTCATCTCATGTGAGTACCAATTTTCAGGTAACAGAAGTACCACTTACCACCTCTGATAAGTGCCACTTCACCTCTTATAATTGCCTCTTTTCAAATATATGAGGTGACCCCTATATTTTGACAAGTGCCTCATTTCTTTTGTATGCCCTTATTCATTTTTATCAATGCCCCTTTTCATCTCCATTGAGAGCCCTTATTCAACCTCGTAATAACTGCCCCTTTTCATCTCTGATTAGCGCTCCTGTTATTTTGACACGTGCCCCTATCCTTTCCAATAAGTGCCATTTTTCATCTCTGGTGAGTGCCCCTTATTAGATGCGAGAAGTGCCCTATATTGGTAATTCCCCTTTTTACTTTTGATATACGTTCCTTTTCTTTTCTAATAAGTGTCCTTTTCCCTTTTGCCAAGTGCCCCCTTTTTCTTTCACCATAAAATGTGCTCCTAATTTAACCCTAATAAGGCAGGGGGCCATTATCCCCCCCCCCCTCCACGATTTTTTTTGTTTTAAGTTATTGTTCGGGAACGCATACGGATGGCGACCCGCCGCTCGCTGAATTTTTTCTTTCGGGTCTTGCGCATCTTTTAAAACAATTTTTTTTGAAAAAAAATGTTGAAAGTTAAAGCGACTAAAACTAAAAGCAAATTTTTCTTAACATGATTTCACCCAAAGCTCGCACTTAAAGTTGATATCATTTTAGTTTTTTATTATAAGTCTTTTCAGTCTTTCAAGATTAGATTGGCTTAACATAACAAAAGGATTATTTTTTCCGCTTTATAAAATGTGATTTTTCGCACTGCGACCTCAGAAATCCGGTCTTGGATTTCACTCGCTCGCAAATGAATATTCAGACCATTACACCCAACTGCAAAGCATGATGCTTCAGCAGTATCTTGGATAAGGCAAAGAGAGAAACAAATATAGAAATCAACCTTTTAATATAGGGGTATATACCAATGTCTCCAAAAAAAAAAATCACTTTGAGATTTCCCTTTGAAGGTGCCCATTTTTTCTCCAAAAAGTGCCTTTTTGTAGGTCCCCCCCACACTTTTAAATACGCCCCGTCGCCACTGTATGTACATTTCAAATACATTAGCACAATCTTCTGATCATGTCCTTTATCATGCTTAGATTCTTGTTGGTGCTAATCAAAAGTACGTCTACTTTAAGACACATGGGGGCAAATCTTTTTTTTACGGTGTTTCATGCATCAGGATACTTTATAAAATAGCAAATGAGAATATAGTAATAATGGACACCCGTCATGTCTTTCGTCACTTGCTTTTGTCAAAATTTATCCCGTAATGGATCATTCATGTAGACGTTCACCTATATTAAAATAGTATGATTTTAAATTCCTCTGAGCCATGAAATATTTCAAGAGGTGTATAGTAACATTTTCTCAAGCGATGAGAATGGCTTATTTAATTAAATTAGCGTTATTATTATTTTTGCTTTTCTTTTTATCACCTGCCATCTGTAAGTAAAAAAAAAAAAGAAAAAAGGAAAATTAGCAAATATTCAAATGAGATCAAAGCCTATTTCTTATATAATATAAGAAATAGACTTTGATATTATTTGAATATTTGCTAATTTTCCTCTTTTTTTTTACTTACAGATGGCAGGTGAAAAAAAAAATAATAATAATAACGCTAATTTAATTAAATAAGCCATTCTCATCGCTTGAGAAAATGTTACTATACACCTCTTGAAATCATTGTGGAATTGTGATTATCTTGCTATTTATCAATTAAAGTCAAATTAATCTGTGAACAAATATAAAATTCAGGGCGTTAGCCGAATCGCCAATTCGGGCTAAATAAAAAGGAACTATGGTAACCATGTTTTTTTGTCCAAACTACCATCACATGATAACTATTGTTCTTTTTGTATATACATGTACCATATCATTTTCCTTGCTTACCTGATATCATATATTGGTGTTATCTTCATCCTACCCGCTCTACTCTCCCAACATCTCCCCAAGCTCCAGAAGGATGGAGGGCATCTGTCCTGTAAACCCGGAGCAGGACACAAACCTTTCTCAGCATCCTCAGTCTCAGTCATTATAATTATGTAAATATATACTCACAAACATGGAGTGAGTAGCAGTTGCTTGCATGCATGCAGGTACATGCGAAGGCGGGTCCAGGATTTTCTGAACTATGGGGAGGGGGGAGGGGTGGTGTTTGCAATTACAGATGTCCATATAATATCGTAATATGCATCACAGTGAGTCTTCACAGGGATGTTCTTTTGCTTGAATGGGCGGGGAGCGGTTGATTTGTTCCAAATGTGAAACTATATTGTTATTAGTCATTATGCAAATACATATGTCCAAACTTTTCGAGTTATAAACGCACTCCTGGATTCCTAGATATCAATTTTCTACAAATACATTTTGAAGCTCGTTAGATTCACCTAGAGCATTGGCGTAACCATTTTTATTAGGGGGAGGGGTAGGTGCAGTCCAGGTGAATTCACCGACAACCCGAAGTCAACAGCCGATAAGCACAAACAAACCTTGAGATGGAAAGCAGTTTTGTAACTGACAAGATAGACAATGCTATAGCCTTTATAAATAATAACAAAACTAATATTAGCTATAATAGATTGCTGGATAGGGGCTAAAAATGAGGGTTGCCCCTTTCCTATTCCCACATTGGTAGCTTACGTATTGGGGGTGACTCAAACCACAATGCATAGGGTCTATTTGCGAAGGCTAAGTGCCATATTAGCGACTGTGCTTTGAGACTAAAAGGTATAGTGGTTAGATAAATGACCGTGAATTTGCATAATGGTTTAACCAATGACATTTGACAGAAAGAGAAAGCGTCAATAAAAAGAGACAACTAAAAGATCAATGATTATTAGAACAAAACCCGTCAATGATTTTGACCTTCAATTAGACAGAACGATCGAACTACATGAATTTGGCGTAAACAACTTTTAAGATGCGCATACCCCTTTGGAAAATATTTATCACTTGAGAGAGGAAATTGATGTGTAGGCATATGTAAGGTAAATATATTTCTGAAAATAGGATAGTAAAAGTCTGTTCTAAATTTACAGAAAGATAACTCTATAGTTTCGTTCTACTTGCTTGGAATACAACTACTAAATGTATTAAGACTCGGTCCTTATAATCTATTCGATTTGTGACTGGATTACAGCACTGACTTACACTCATCACTTGAAGAAGAAAAAAGTCCTGTTTAATTAAAAGTTGAACAATAATCTTAT